CTCAAAGTCTTATAGCCAACTTGTAATACAAAATTCCAATTTCAGAAATTCCTATAGGATTAACAATTTAAATGTTGCTCAAAAGTCCCACTTAGAAGTTTAATCAAAGTTCAAAACAATTTCTGTACCTGGGAAAATACTTCCCTAGGTGGCCAGTTTGGAGCAGAGAACCCCTGTAGTAGTATTCTCAGTTTCTGACTGGCTCTTTCCAAGTAAATTTGCATTTTTCAGATGGGTTTCTCTATGTATTCTTGGCTGGCCTAAAACTCAACCAAGCTGGCCTGCATTGCAAATGCTAGGGTCAAAGAGTGCAAATACACCTGGCTCGATTGAACTTTATAAATTTTCAAATTTCTATTGTTCCAAGGCTGAGAAATAGAGTTTCTCTTTAGCTGCTTTCTGTACACCCTATGTTTGCAACCCATTTTAAAGTTCATATAACTTGCTTATACTCTGATTTGTTCCTTTCTTTAACAAAGTGGATATTTCTCTGCTCTCTGTTTTACTGGAAATATGAATAAGAACAGTGAGCAATAACTATGTCTGTTACAGCTTGGATGTTATTTTCTCTTGAAATTTCTTCCACTAAATAAATTAGTCCATTACTTTTGCATTCAGCCTCACACAAATTTTCAGAAGATTGCTCAAGTGGCCTGACTTTGCCCAAGTGTAGTATAAGTAGCCAGAATCCATCTTACCAATAGCATCCTTGTTCCCCTCTGGAATGTATGTACTGAGCCTCCCCTGTCCTTATTTAATATTTTATTTGTGTGTATAATTTTATAGACTTCAGATCCATGGCCCATTAATCTCTGCTTATAGCATGGTAAGGTTTATCTATCTAGCCCACAGCTGCAAACTCTTCCACATTCTTGCCATAAATTTTTCCACATAAACTTATCACATGAACAGATTTATGACTGCAGTTGACCTACTTCTTGGTACCAGTTCTCTGTATTAGTTACTGTCTTATTCCTGCTATAAAATACCTGACTAAAAGCAACTTAAGGAAGAAATGGTTTATTTTACTATAATGCCTGTGGGGAAGGCATGATGGGCACAGTGATTTTTATCTGTAGTGACAGGAAAATTAGGAAGATGGTCTTATTGCATCCATAGCCAGGAAACAGGGAAAGATATTCATTCAGTCATGGTACCCAGATGACTTTCTCCTTTTTTAAAAAATTCAGTCTAGTACTCTCACCACTGGATTAGTGCTTTCAAAATTCAGAGTAGGCCTTTCATCCATAATTAAATCTCCCTGAAAATACCCTCAGATATACCCAAAACCATGTCTCCTAGCTAATTCTAAATCTAACCAGCTTGACTAATCCGAAAGTCTAAACTATAAAAGTTAAGCAACAAATATTCAACGTTTTAGCCATTAGAAAATTTTTCTGATTTAAATTGTAACATTATAAGTTAACCATTTCATTCCTTCCTTGATAAGTCAACAGTGATTTTGAAGCAGTGGCAATATGTCAAGTTCTAAAAAATAAATCACAATAAGTCTGCGTTAAGTAAGCATAAGCACCATGTCCCTTCAAAATACTTGCTTTATTAATTTCTCCTGCTTCTATGATTACTGTGCATAAAGAAAATGTTCTTAACACCTTAACACCTCTTCCTCCTCCCCCTCCTCCTCTTCTTCTTCTTTTTTTTTTTTTTTTAAGAGAAGGTGTCTCTATGTAGTCCTGCCTGGCTGTCCTGGAACTCACTTTGTATTTCACAAAAATCTTCCTCCCTCTGTCTCCAGAGTGCTGAGACTAAAGGTCTATGTCACCATGCCCAGCTGGTATATATATTTTTAACCTTGCTTATTCCCTCTTAATTTTCTATTATTTATTTTTGTTTTATGTGTCCTAAGTGTCTTTTCTGAGTGTATATTTGGGAGCCACTTGAGTGTAGAACCTAGGAGGTCAGTAGAAGGTAATAGATCTCCTGGAATTAAAGTTTTGGACTATGGTGAGATGTCATGGATTGCTGGGAATTACATTCAGGTCCTCTGGAGAATAGCAAGTGCTCTTAACTGCTGAGCCATGCCTCTTAGCCTCCTCCTGATTAAGACATGATTAAGGGACAGTAAGATGACTCAGTGGATAAAAGTACTGGTGCCAGGCCTCATGATGTGAATTCAATCCTAGGGCTCTTAAAAAACTTAAAAAACTGTTTTAGATTCATTCATTTTATTTTATGTGTATGAATGTTTTCCCTCTGTGTGTATTCCATATGTATGCCTGGTTCTCTCAGTGTTCAGAAAAAGGTGTCAGATATCCTGAAACTAGAGTCAGAGTTGGTTTTGAACCACTGTATGAGTACCAGGAACCATGAACAGGTCCTCTGTAAGAGCAACAAATGCTCTTAACCACTGAGCTGTCTTTTCAGTTTCCTTGCTGATTTTTTTAAACTGTAATTAATCATGAGTATTTACATATCATTTAGTAAATGATATATTTTTCATAGAGGATCCAAGTTAATCTTAGAATCACAGAAGTTTGCAGTAATCATACACCTTAGAGAGGATATCATTTTGAATCATTGTAATGTCCACAAGCACTTCAAATACTGTATGGGTATAAGATTGTAAACATCACATTTTAGGGCCCAGAATCTTTCTTTCGAAGATTTGGTATTTTATGTAAAGGTTATAAACCTAGTATATGTGATTTTAAAACCCCGTGTATGTGTCAAATTGGAAACTGACCATGTCAGAATTTTTTAAAAAGTCATAGTTTGGACATGAAGAATCCCTCATAAGGCTCATATGTTGAACTCTTTATCCCCAGCTGGTAGAAACAGTCCTAAAGACATGGTTAAGGGACAGTAAGATGACTCAGTGGATAAAAGTACTTGGTGCCAAGCCTCATTTTGTAACTTCAATCCCTAGGGCTCATATGATAAGGAGAAAACTGACTCTTAAAGGTTGTCCTCTGACTTTACACACATGCTGTACTGTGTATACGCACACAGACACATGTATATGCACCCTAGATAATAAACATTTTAAAGAAGTGATTGGATTATCAGGCTTCTGGCCTAATCAGTATAATAATTTACTTGGTGGATTCATATTAATGGAAGTTTATGGAAATTTTAGGAGGTAGAACTCCATAGGAGGAAGGTCTGTCATGCAGGCATATTGTTGGGTGCTCTGTTTTGTACTAGGTTCATTCCTCAATCCATATTTGCTTCATGGTACCATAAAGGGAGAAACTCTGTAGCACCATATCTATCATTATGTATTGCCTCAGTGCAAGTCCAGACACAACAGAGGCAGGGACAAAGGACTAAAGGCAGTGAAACCAAAAGCCTATTGGCAAAACAAACCAAAATAACAGAAAAACAAAACTCTTCCTTCTTTTAAATTCTTTTTCTTCAAACTTCTTTTCAATGATAACACAAAAGTGACTAGCACAAAAAAGGAAGAAAATAAGGACAAGGGAGGATGTGAATGATACCGAAGGTTCCCTAAATCAAGATAATAGGTTAAGTTAGTCATTTGGAAGCAAGGGCTTAAGTAGATATAACATTCATTGTAATCATTACTATTGAGTGTTTATATACAAGAAACTTAACTAGATGTGCTACATGTGCTATCTGATTTACTGTTTAAACAATTTCTATTGTCCCACTTGACAGGTAAAGACTCAAGAAGAAATGTGATACCTTATAATTACATGATGTTTACTTTGCGTCTCCTAAATAGTTTGAAACAAACATGAAAAGTTTTAAATACCCGATATTTTTTCATTTGGAATTTAAAGTCTACGTTCCAGAGTACATTGACAGAATTTCTGCACCACCCTAATGCTTCTTGTGGGAATTTTATGTATTTTATTCATAGACAACATCTGTATATAAAGCATTGCAGTTGATAAAAGGATTGAGGATGGAATGTATGTTGGGTTCCTGAAACAAAACTATTAGGAATCAAGGTGTATATCTGCTGAATGTTTGGTACTAAAAACATATAATAGCCTTAACTAGCAGATATTATTAATTTTGATGGGGCTTACATAATAAGAATCTCACATTTGGATATGGAGAGTGACAGTTCATAACCATATGTCTGTATGTGCTTCCATTTACTTGCATATCTATATTGCAAGTACTCTAAAACAGCCCAGCCCTTTGACTTACATTTGTAAAGGTAAATGATTTGATACTATCTTTTTAGCTCTTAAGTGTTTTTTATTTTGTATATACATATGTGTGTGTACATATTCTTTGTCCATGTGAGATAGGGATTCAGCTCAGATTCTCATGCTTGCATAGCAAGCACTTTATCTACTGAAACATCTCCCTACTCCTTGAATTATCACTCTAAAACACCACAGCTAGACTATGGTTCTTTTCCAAGTGCAAAATTCTTTCATACTCTTAAAATGTCACAGCAAAAAGTGTAAATAACTCTAACTAAATCTTAAAGAGCTTTGAGTTATGACTACTGTAGGTAGGCAGCATCTAGAATGAACACGATCTATAGATAATCCCTGACTAAAAGTGGTTTCACTTAAAAATTTTCAACTTTACAGGGGTGTAGAAATGATATACATTTAGTGGATACTGTATTTCAGCTTTGGGATTTTGAACTTTTCGTTATCTAGCACTGTTGAGTCAATCACTCTTTATGGATACTGGTGAGCACCAACAAATGAACTGCAGCCCTTTGCTATCCTCAGTCAGCCATGGAACCACAAGAGACTTGAAACTTCAATGTGTGGAGCCATAAACTATGATGGTTGATAGTTAGATTCATTAAATATAGCAAATTAATGATGTTTTTACCTGGTAACCAGTTTCTCTGTGAATAACTCCATTCTAATAATAGGCTACTCTATTTGTTATTTACTGGTGTAGAAAATAAGGCTGTGTCACTTGACCTAACACATCTGATTCTGTTTTTTTGTCAATATCTGAACACAAGTATCTGTTTATACTTAACCATGTTTTGATCATATTGATTATTTTTACCTATTTATTTTGTTTTGTATTTATAGAAGGAGTTTTGGAGCACATACACAAAAGCACAACAAGGAGAAACCAACAGAGGAAGTGACTGGTTTCAGTTTTATCTTACTTTTCCATTAATCTTTGGCCTCTTCATTATTCTCCTTGTCATCTTCCTAATCTGGAGATGCTTTCTAAGAAACAAAACTCGGAGACAGACAGTGACTGAAAGCCACATTCCTTTCCCTCAGCATCTTAACATCATTACTCCACCTCCTCCACCAGATGAAGTCTTTGATAGCAGTGGATTGTCTCCAGGATTTTTGGAATATGTTGTTGGGCGATCAGATTCGGTTTCCACTCGCCTTTCCAACTGTGACCCCCCACCAACCTACGAGGAAGCCACTGGCCAGGTGAACCTGAGAAGGAGTGAAACAGAATCTCATTTGGACCCACCACCAGAATATGAAGACATAGTCAACTCCAGTTCAGCTAGTGCCATTGCTATGGTGCCTGTGGTCACCACCATCAAATGAAGCTGCAAAACTTTTTTTACTTTAATCATTTCTAAAATACTAATGGAAAAACTTTCTAGCACTTTACTACTACATAAATGTGCATTGACATATTTTATTAGACTTTTAGAGCATACCACTTCATATTTACTGCTTTGATTTATCTTAATTTTATTACTTATTACAAAATCATTATCTGTGGTTTTTTTTTTTACAAAGGGAAACATGAAAGAAAGACATGTCGGTGGCAGTCTTTATGTACTGTAAAGAATGCACATGTATATATATAGCCACATGTGTACCATCCAATTTGTGTACAACTAACTTCTACCACACCACCCATAAAGACAGCATTACTCACCAAAATTGAAAAGGCAGGGGTCACAGACAGTATATGTGATTGACAACAACATGCATGTTTCTTAATTAAAGACATTGGTCAACTTCCTATTTCTTCTTTCATGAATGGAACAAATATGCATGGATTCATCCTCAATATTAGAAACATCTCAACAGAGAGAGACAAGAGACAGAGCATGTAGCATTTATTATATGTGCTTGAAATCATTGATCATTAGTGGCATTTAGCTCATTTTGTACTGGGGTTTTTCTTCTTGGCTGATTACCAAACACTGTCCCATTAAAATTTTCTTAGCATCTTTGAATGTTTCATCCCACTCGTATTAATATCTTGCTTGCAAGTATTTCTAGGTAATGAAGTAATGTTTGTGTTAATGACAGGGAGTAGATACTGACTACTCCATTGCTTATTGTGTGATTGGCAATAATTTTTTATACTAATTTTTATTCTCATCGCTACTGCAGACTCTCCATATACCCAAGAATTAAGCCAAAATCAATTTTGAATCGTTTTCTTAATGTTTTGCACAGGTTAAAAGTCTTACTCTCAAAATTATTAGTACACAATTTTTCATTTAGTTATAAACTGTGACTTTTGTGTTAATGTTCTGTTGATGGAAGATTACACAGTATCTGCTATAGTAGATGCACACTAAATCTAGTTTAGTTCCGCATAGGTCTCATTATGTTACTGTTACATATATATATATATATATATATATATATAT